AGCCGGGCCCGGCTCGGGCTTTTTCCAAGCCGAGCCCGAGCCGTCCGAGCCGCCGAGTTTTTTTGCCATCCCTAGAAGTATCTGATTACCTTCCCTTTTGATTTTTCACCAACTTATCTTTATTTTGTATCTTGTTGTAATCTCTCTTGATGTGTCATTTCTTCTTGAAATAAAAAAAAAAAAAATTGATTATTGAAATTAGATTTCGACTTGCCCCTTCCATCCACCATGAACAACAAGGCTTTCTCCATCTCTAGTCTAAGATCCAACCAAATGGTTCATCTTCTCATTTGAAAACAAAGTATCATACGCATCTTCAATTGTGAGAGTTTCACTACTATATAAAACCGTGTCTCAAAAAGAAGCGGACAGCGAACACAAAAGAACTAAGGTAAAACCTTCTTCATCATAATTTATATCTTAAGTCTCCAATCAGGGACGATTTCCTTAAAAACAGTTAGGTGATCTTCCAATGATCCGCCTTCTGTTACACAACGAGAATACAAACGCTACTTCAGTGGCAATCTGCTTGTCAAATTCTTAGTCATGCATAATTGTTCAAATTTTAACCACAATGCAACTACCGTTTTCTCTTTCGAAACGTCTGGAAGAATGTTATTCGAAAGATGAACATGAATTTGTGAAAGTGACTTACAATCCGTACATTATTTTTCCTCCGTCGACCAAGTTGAGGGCATATTATTAAATTCCAACAGCGCATATCATCCAAATCTATCTGCACAAGTACAGGTCACATCTTCACCTGCCAAATGAGAATTTAGTGTTGTGATTCAAAATTGGAACATCATACTTCATGGTTGCTATGAAGAACACGAACCTCGAACAAATCAAAAACCCAAAACTCTGATAACACTCGTTGGGGCCGAAACGAGATTATATGTACGGTATGAAGTATTGATCATAATAATAAGATAAACACAAAGACAAGAATTTAAGTTCTTGTCTTGATTTCAATATCAAGTTGTTTGATTTTGCTAAAAATTAAATTTTTAGTAGGTTTTAGTAAAAGAGAATGTATGGTTGAAAAAATTATAATCTTTTTGAATAACGTTAAAATGTTTGAATGAAAATGAATTTTAAAAAATGAGGATCAAACATCGACTAAATACAAATTACATTTATGCCAAATGTACCATTTTTTTTTTTCAAAAGGCAAATTAAGTAATAGTTAAAATAATAATATTAGAGAATGGACATAACAATAAAAAAGGAAGACAAAAAGGGATGAGAATAGTCAGAATAGAAAATAGCTAGCCGGTGTGGAATATTTTTGACAGCCCTGCTGCAGTTTCTGTTGGGAATTTACTTA